AACTATGACATTGGGACGTCAAACATCTCAATCCCCCCCCCGTGACCATGGGTGCTGTAAAGCACCCGAAACGTCGGGATAAAGAAAAATAAGTAAAGTACCTAGTAATTAAACGCGATAAAATCCGTAAATAATAGTTTTATTCAATGTGTAGTGTTCGCGTAAATTTAGGAAATCATTACATTCCATCTTAGTTCTCAGCGGTCACATTTGCCTTTTGATTCGTAAGCTTTGGTATCTTGATCGTAACGCACCACGCTGCGTTATGCGGCTCAAACGCAGCGTTCCGATGCAGCGTTTAGCATCTGTGCAGAGAAGTGGTCAGTTGATTTTGCCGCAGCTACTAAAGCAGACGTGTCAATATGAACAATAGTTTTGAAATTTGTACTTTGTTTAAAGAAAGAACTTTGTCTTTATTTTTATATAAAAAGGGATAATTGCGGATTAATTAAATTATCTTCAAACAAAACTATTGTCAACCCGTGACGCACACCGCAGCGCCGAACGGGAGCGATGCCGCGCAGTGCGGAGTACCCGCTCCCCACTTCACCGCGCTTGCCCTTCGCCGATACTCTGCCTGAGAAAATTCTAATTTTATACTGTTACGAGCTTAGGGTTCGTGACAATAAAAACTGTCGACTGAATTACAAAAATTAACACTTTAATTACCGAACGCCAATTAAAACTAATACACACTAATTAGTCACACTGATCACTTTAGTTCACATTATTACGCTCCGAAGCTTCGCTTGGATCGCCAATTCAATACTGCCCCGGTCGCAGCCGTTAAGGTGACTCTAGTCGACATTATTTCCATAGAAATTTCGGAGGGGTTTTACTCCGCTGTTTGACAGTGTACATCCAAAGTTAAACATGATATCGTTTTGTCTCATTATTAATTTTGTCTGTACCGAAACAGAATAGTAAAATAAAAAGTCAGTAAAAAGTTACGAGCTACCAAAGATTCGTTTTTATTGCCAATTTTAACACAACTTTGGGCGTAAATTAGTAATAAAAGCAGTGTAAAATTTCCAAAACAAAGTCGGTACCGACACAGCTCAATTATCGAAGAATTCAATAAATTTTATTGGTACTTGATTCATGAAGTGGTTTTTTTCGTAAAACCCCTCCTTCCAAAGGCCTTTTCCTATTTTTTTACGCGCGCGTGTTTATGTGAATTATCGTGCATCTCACTGGATAATGTTTCCCCCCGGTGCGGTGCGGGAGGACGACACTTACACACACATGCATGCGCGGTGACGCGCGCTTATTCTAGTTTTATTTTATTATATAGACTCAGTCAGCTGCGGCCTGTGACGTTCGTATGACTATAGCTGTACCTGCGCTCTAAATTACTACGCTACATTGACCCCTGCTTGTACTTTGGATTAAATCAAATTGATATAAGCACAGACAAAAATAATAGAGGAATATATAAATAAAATTTTGAAAAAAAAAACGATCTCAAAATTTTATTAATGTTCCGCTAATTTTATCTGTACTTACCTATGTCAATTTGATTTACATTCGATTATAATTATATTCTCAGACGTGCAGGTTTCCTCAATATGTTTTCCTTCACCGCCGAGCACGTGGTAAATCAGCACAATTGCAATTAACAATTTCATTGGTACCGGCGGGGATCGAACTCGGGTCTGCATGTCTGAGAAATTAAAAAATATATATTTCGAAGAAATGTGAAGTTCGTCAACACGCATTGAGGCAGCGTGGCAGACATTTCCTTGCCTTAAAACCCTTTCAGATATTAGAGGAGGCCTGTGCCCAGCAGTGGGACGTATATAGGCTGTAACTTTACTTTTTTTACTTTTATAAATATGTTATTTTACCGACGAAAATTTTAAAGAAAAATAAAAAATAAGCAACCGACAACCTCCTAGGTCCCTAGGTGACTTGCGAGATGTCAGTGTAACAAAACAAAACGGCCCAGAAAAACAGACTTTCCAACTGATAGATAAATCAGCACGCAACAATTTCATTGGTGCCAGTGGGGATCGAACCCGGGTTGCTCCCGTACTGTGATACCTATAACGAGCGCTAACCATGTGAGCTACCACGGCTCTCAACGACATCGTTCCGTTCGTGTACAGCGCTGAAGATAGCAGAGTAAAAAATTAGAGATTGTGGTGTTTGAAATTTTACATATAATAATTTACCTCGAAATTCACTATACGCGATTATCGTTTATTGATTATATTATGTTGTTTAAAAAGTATTCCTATCAGCTTTGTGTTAAATGGATGCTAAATATAAAAGAATGCTTCAATATTGATAGCAATTTATAAACGAAATATCTGTTGAGATGTGTCTAGAAATTATTAATACTTATTTTTATTTATTTATTAAAATAATAAATAAATAAAAATAAGTATACATTTATCTATATTGAGTACTAGTTTTTCCCCCGCGATCTCGCCCGCGTGGAATATGTATTTCATGGGTTTTAATTTTTTTTGCGCGGAACCCTAATTCTTTTTCTAAAAGAAAAGTAGTTCAAGTTATTCCTTATATCATCAGCTATCTGCCAGTGAAAGTCCCGTCAAAATAGATCCAGCTGTTTCGGAGAATATATGGAACAAAGAGACAGACAGACAGACCGACAGACAGACAAAAATAGTACTTTCATATGCATTTAATAAAAAGCTGTTATTTTAACATTACAAACAGACACTTCAATTTTATTTATTTGTAGATATAGATATAAGATATTATTCATATTGGTGTCATTTTAAAGGGAATATCATGTACTATTATAATAATAAAATAATTGTCTCCAGTAAATATTATACTTTTCTTGTAAAACTCGAAATAAGTAACAAATAAATACGATTTATTTTTATATTCCCATATGCTTTATTTTCATCCTTTATTTTTTATTTGACCAATTTTCTTTTAACAAAATTAAATTCTGAATTCGTTGAGCTTTTTGAGAATATTTTTATTTGAATGTTAGGTAGGTACCTATTTAGTTTTACGGTAGTAATCGTTTTTGTTGCGACAGTCTCGCGCGGTCGTAAAAAAAGTTACTGCGCGGACAGGTGGGACGAGAATCACTTGCGCGGCGTGGACGGTGGATAGGTAGTCTACCTACTGTTATTACCTAGGTACCCACAACCTATACAACAAAATTTGGTAAACTGTCGCTGCGTCGTGGAAACTAAAATCTAAACTGCCTACCTACCTGCCTAAGTACGTCGGTACTAAGGAAACAGTCTTGACGGGTCACTTGTCTTGATAAAAACATGTGTTTACATCTAGTGATATTGTGTGTATATAAAACAAAGTAAGAAGACAGGTAAGTATTTTTGAAGACAATTTATAGATAGGCAGTAACTAATTACAATTATTATCTAAATATTATAAATGCGAAAGTTTGGATGGATAGATGTATGTTACTCAATCACAGCTGAAGGGATCTGGATGATATTTAGCTCAGAGATAGGTTATACCTGGTCTGGAATAACACATTTGATACCGTTTATTCAGGTATTTCGTTCCTGTGGGATAATTTTCGAGTTCACGCGTTTGAAGCCGCTGGCAACAGCTAGTACGGATATAAACTGCGATGACTGTTCCAGTTCACGCTTCGGCGTCGTGAACTCTTGAGTGATCGCTGCATGACCACCCGGGGAAAACAAAACATAATAAAATAAGCAATCTATATTAGGTATCTATAGTTTGTAGGTAGGTACTGCTGATTTCTTAGAAAGCGTCGAGCGGCACAGAATAGGGTGGTATGTATGTGTGCATCGTGTTCGTGTAACTTCGTTTTTGTTCTAACGGTTCGGAACGCCGTACGAACAAGACGTGCGTTCTAACTGCTCTTCACTGGTACTATCTCTGTCGGGCACGATGCCAGGTGAGACAACGTGCTTTTTGGCCGCGCCCACCAATGAGTTCGAGCCCTCGACTTGTGCCACCTTAAAGGCCTTATATAGGCCTTTTCCACCGAAACATCTACAATGTTCCAGCAAATACCGGTCCCGACCAAATAGATGTAGAGAATTCGAGTGTGGAGTTATCTAGAAAGCTTAGTTCCTCTGTTCGATAATAGATGGCGCTAGTGCCATCAACTCTGCGTGCAACACTGCCCCCTACTAAGATATGCTCGTCCCGAGCATTATCGGCCCCATAATAACGCGCCAGTCGATCCACATGGATGATCTTAGGAATATCTCTTGCACCTTTATGCATACCGCAGCGTTTAGCAAGAGACCGAGAAAGATCAACTGTAATATAATGGATTTCCGACAAGTAACGCCTGATTCTATTAATTAATATTTTATTGTTTTAACGATCTATTTCTGACGCACTGTGCTTGAACGACTGCGTTCATAGATAACAGAGAGAGACAACTGCAGTTCACCTCTCAGACCAACAAAGAAAGAATTCTCACAAACAGCTCTTCTTTCTCCCGTTAAATTTTACTACTCAATGCACACATTTGCACCTAAAACTATATTGATGGTTGTAACCTCCTCCAAAATTCAGCTGATTTTAGAATTTTTTTTTAATTTTTATGTATCTATTACCGGCGGTTTCACTGAGCAGTTTGCAGTAATTTAAAGATTTCTAGTTTTTGAAATAATCAATTTATCAAAATAAACAAAACATAGGACATGAAAGTAGTGGATAAAGTTTATATCGCAAAAATGTTAGCTTCAGTGTCATTATCCAGTGAGAAAACAGAGCCATGTACGGGTACGTTTTGTATAGACAAAAGTCCACCCGGATATCCTCCTAAAGGCGTTATAGTGATAAAGTACTAAGCTGCTATTTTACGCTAGTATTCTGTGAGAGTGTGGTCCTTCCCCGGTCGGGCCAACCCATTCATGTTGCCACCATAATAAAGCTGCAGCGTGGCTCTACCACGTATACGTATTTGGCACGTGGCTCTACAACGTATACCACGTTAACGTATTTAATGAAAGGGGTAAGTAAATCTAAAAGAAACACACGCGAATAAATAAATTATGTTTAATTCAGTCCTCAACCATATTCAACAGCCGATCCATGCCTATGGGTCCAAAGGATCTTCCACCGTCATCCGAGTACATAATAACATTCCTAATAACGTAACACTGCAATTCCCCAATCTTGTACAAAGGCCGGCCCTCCCTTGATTTGCCCGGAATGGGGACAAAAGTTATCCCCCTCTCAATGCATCTAGTTTCTAGAAGTTCGGAGAAGCTCTTGAGAGGGTTCGTTGTGGCGAGAATTTCGGTAATCTTAGAAGTTTCCTTAGGTTCAGGGAGGGAGAAACTAGGCGGTGGTGGGGGCTCGATGGAGTCGATATCCGTGCTTCGGTTCATCATGTCCAAGGCCTTGCGGAATGCATCACGTACGGCCGGCTCTTTCAACACTTCTTCTGGGAACATTTTCTGGGAAATAAAAATATTTTGTGTTACCTAAAGTAAAATAAGGTCATTTAAATGGTCACTGTTAGAACGAGATTTTTTAAAATACTGGTGACCCTTACTAATCCTCCCGTTAACAACTCTTAATTTAACTTAAAAATGCTTTTGTTAAGAATAGTTCACCAATGTAGTCAATAGCGGATTCAAACCTACGATTCAACTCCACCATTACGCTACTGTCGCCAAAATTGTGTTTTAATAATTCTAGGTATTTCTTTTAAGATTCCTGAAGGTGTAATGACGAATTTTAAAAAAAACCCTATGACGAAATTCCTTAAGAGTGGACTTCAGTAGTTAGTTAGTCGGCCAGCGCGGCCAGCCAGTTGTGTGTGCGTGTGTGCGTGCGGCTCACATTGAAGTGCGTGTAGGAGGCGAGCACGGTGGCGTGCGGCAGCGCGGTGTTGAGCCAGGCGGCCAGCGCGGCCAGCCAGTTGAGTGTGCGTGTGTGCGTGCGGCTCACATTGAAGTGCGTGTAGGAGGCGAGCACGGCGGCGTGCGGCGGCGTGGTGTTGAGCCAGGCGGCCAGCGCGGCGAGCCAGTTGTGTGTGCGTGCGGCTCACATTGAAGTGCGTGTAGGAGGCGAGCACGGCGGCGTGCGGCGGCGTGGTGTTGAGCCAGGCGGCCAGTGCGGCCAGCCAGTTGTGTGTGCGTGTGTGCGTGAGGCTCACCTTGAAGTGCGTGTAGGAGGCGAGTACGGCGGCGTGCGGCGGCGTGGTGTTGAGCCAGGCGGCCAGCGGGGCCAGCCAGTTGTGTGTGCGTGCGGCTCACATTGAAGTGCGTGTAGGAGGCGAGCACGGTGGCGTGCGGCGGCGCGGTGTTGAGCCAGGCGGCCAGCCAGTTGTGTGTGCGTGTGCGCGTGCGGCTCACACTTGAAGTGCGTGTAGGAAGCGAGCACGGCGGCGTGCGGCGGCGCGGTGTTGAGCCAGGCGGCCAGCGCGGCCAGCCAGTTGTGTGTGCGTGTGTGCGTGCGGCTCACATTGAAGTGCGTGTAGGAGGCGAGCACGGTGGCGTGCGGCGGCGCGGTGTTGAGCCAGGCGGCCAGCGCGGCCAGCCAGTTGTGTGTGCGTGTGTGCGTGCGGCTACACTTGAAGTGCGTGTAGGAGGCGAGCACGGCGGCGTGCGGCGGCGTGGTGTTGAGCCAGGCGGCCAGCGCGGCCAGCCAGTTGTGTGTGCGTGTGTGCGTGCGGCTCACATTGAAGTGCGTGTAAGAGGCGAGCACGGCGGCGTGCGGCGGCGTGGTGTTGAGCCAGGCGGCCAGCGCGGCGAGGCAGTTGTGTGTGCGTGTGTGCGTGCGGCTCACATTGAAGTGCGTGTAGGAGGCGAGCACGGCGGCGTGCGGCGGCGTGGTGTTGAGCCAGGCGGCCAGCGCGGCCAGCCAGTTGTGTGTGCGTGTGTGCGTGCGGCTCACCTTGAAGTGCGTGTAGGAGGCGAGTACGGCGGCGTGGTGTTGAGCCAGGCGGCCAGCGCGGCCAGCCAGTTGAGTGTGAGTTGCGTGTGCGTGCGGCTCACATTGAAGTGCGTGTAGGAGGCGAGCACGGCGGCGTGCGGCGGCGCGGTGTTGAGCCAGGCGGCCAGCGCGGCCAGCCAGTTGAGTGTGCGTTGTGCGTGCGGCTCACATTGAAGTGCGTGTAGGAGGCGAGCACGGCGGCGTGCGGCGGCGTGGTGTTGAGCGAAGCGGCACAGCGCGCCAGCGCCAGTGTGTGCGTGTGCGTGCGGCTCACCTTGAAGTGCGTGTAGGAGGCTGAGTACGGCGGCGTGGTGTTGAGCCAGGCGGCCAGCGCGGCCAGCCAGTTGTGTGCGTGTGTGCGTGCGGCTCACATTGAAGTGCGTGTAGGAGGCGAGCACGGCGGCGTGCGGCGGCGCGGTGTTGAGCCAGGCGGCCAGCGCGGCCAGCCAGTTGAGTGTGCGTGTGTGCGTGCGGCTCACATTGAAGTGCGTGTAGGAGGCGAGCACGGCGGCGTGCGGCGGCGCGGTGTTGAGCCAGGCGGCCAGCGCAGCCAGCCAGTTGTGTGTGCGCGTGTGCGTGCGGCTCACATTGAAGTGCGTGTAGGAGGCGAGCACGGTGTCGTGCGGCGGCGCGGTGTTGAGCCAGGCGGCCAGCGCGGCCAGCCAGTTGAGTGTGCGTGTGTGCGTGCGGCTCACATTGAAGTGCGTGTAGGAGGCGAGCACGGCGGCGTGCGGCGGCGCGGTGTTGAGCCAGGCGGCCAGCGCGGCCAGCCAGTTGAGTGTGCGTGTGTGAGTGCGGCTCACATTGAAGTGCGTGTAGGAGGCGAGCACGGTGGCGTGCGGCGGCGCGGTGTTGAGCCAGGCGGCCAGCGCGGCCAACCAGTTGAGTGTGCGTGTGTGCGTGCGGCTCACATTGAAGTGCGTGTAGGAGGCGAGCACGGCGGCGTGCGGCGTCGTGGTGTTGAGCCAGGCGGCCAGCGCGGCCAGCCAGTTGTGTGTGCGTGCGGCTCACATTGAAGTGCGTGTAGGAGGCGAGCACGGTGGCGTGCGGCGGCGCGGTGTTGATCCAGGCGAGCCAGCGCGGCCAGCCAGGTGAGTGTGCGTGTGTGCGTGCGGCTCACATTGAAGTGCGTGTAAGAGGCGAGCACGGGGGCGTGCGGTGGCGCGGTGTTGAGCCAGGCGTCCAGCGCGGCCAGCCAGTTGTGTGTGCGTGTGTGCGTGCGGCTCACCTTGAAGTGCGTGTAGGAGGCGAGCACGGTGGCGTGCGGCGGCGCGGTGTTGAGCCAGGCGGCCAGCGCGGCCAGCCAGCGCGGCAGCAGCGCGCGCGCCGCCAGCGCCGCCACGGTGCTGGCGCCCAGCAGCTCCACCCACTGCACGCACCACAGCCACGCCGCTGCGCACGCAAACATATGTCCATGTACACGACACTTACACTTAAAAAAACTTTTGCAAGAAAGTAAAAGCCGACTTCGAAGCACTAATGCCTAAAATTAGCTAATTACTCAAACGCTGCTCAATTTTAAGTTGTCGTTAAGTATCATGCCATCTATCACTTTTAACTCTTTCCCTGTCCCATGCAGATTTAAATAGTTAGATGCACCTTCACCTTGAATAACTGTTGCATTATTTTTGAATGTGTGCGTTTAAGAGTACTGAGACAATAGTGTCATCTCTCATTATCTTACGGAAATTATGTATACTACTTTATCTGTCTACCACGGCATTTCCGTCTGTTTATGTCTATTTATAGATGATCCCTTTGTAAACCGCTGCCTTGATACATCCGAATATCTAACTGAATTGGTTATTAGAAGAGTACTGAGACAATAGTGTCATCTCTTATTATCTTACGGAAATTGTGTATACTACTTTCTCTGTCGCACAATTTCCGTTTGCCCGTAATTATTTCGTGGTATATTTTGAGGTCGGAATAAAATAAATTCAATATTTAATAAAATATAGATACTTATGAGCAAAATGTTACACCTCAGCCTTTATTTGTTTTTAGAATTATTACTGCACTTTCGAAAGGCACACGATGGCGTTCTGAAAATTTTTGTTTGGTAAAATCAGCGCGTTAGTTCCAATTTGCAACACCTGGCTGTCACCGCGCACAAATGAGCAACTGATTGCGACTGAGTGAGCTCACTCATTTCAGAATAAACACATTTCGGAGTGGTCAACTATGGTAAGGGAGCATCTAACTATATAAACCTTTGGTCCCATGAATCGTATATGAACACTTCGACTGTTTACCTTTTGTATCTATTTCGCGGACAGGAAAACTGTTAAGTCTACTCAGACATAAATTGAGTAGCTTTTGAGTACTTGGCCATTAAACGAATAAAATAATTTCACGTTCTATGGTCAGTGCTAAGACAGTGTATAGAAGAATTAAAGCCCCCTTTTGATTGGACTAATCCGTTGGGCTATGTCGGTCACTCTGGTTTTACTGCGGATATCCTCATTTCTGAGTCTATCACGCAGAGAAACTCCGAGCATAGCCCTCTCCATAGCTCGCTGAGCGACCTTGAGCGTCCTCATACGGCCAGTAGTGAAGGACCACGTCTCTGATCCGTAAGTCATCACTGGCAACACGCACTGGTTGTACACTTTAGTTTTCAGAGATTGAGGTATACCTGACGAAAAGATGTGTCGTAATTTCCCGAACGCAGCCCAGCCGAGTTGAATCCGTCGATTGACCTCTCGGTCGAAGTTGGACTTACCTAGTCGGACTATTTGTCCCAGGTAAACGTACTCGTCAACAACTTCGAGCATAGTGCTGCCAACAACTACCGGCATAGGTGTGACATGGACATTAAACATGATCTTTGTTTTGTCCATGTTCATCTTAAGACCTATCCGTTGGGAGACACCATTGAGTTCATTGAGCATAGTGCTAAGGTCCTCCAGCGATTCTGCCATAAGGACTATATCGTCGGCAAATCGAAGGTGAGTGATGTACTCGCCATTGATGTTAATACCGTATCCTTTCCAGTCCAGTAGCTTGAAAACGTCTTCCAACGCAGCGGTGAAGAGTTTCGGGGACATAACGTCACCCCGTCTTACACCTCTCTGCAGTTGGATAGGATTCGAACTCTGGTTCTGTACTCGGATAGTCATAGTAGCCCTACTGTACAAACACTTCAACACTTTGATATACCGACAGTCAACTTGGCACCGCTGAAGGGACTGTAGCACCGCCCAAATTTCGACGGAATCAAAGGCTTTCTCATAGTCCACATATGCCAGGCAAAGTGGCAGATTGTACTCTTCGGTCTTCTGTACAATCTGCCGCAGGGTATGTATGTGGTCTATGGTACTGAAGCCTTTTCGGAAACCGGCTTGTTCGGGAGGCTGGAACTCGTCGAGTCTGCGTGCGAGACGATTCGTAATGACTCTCGAAAACAGCACGTAGACGCGGCTCAGAAGGGAAATCGGTCTGTAGTTCTTCAAGAGTGCGTTGTCGCCTTTCTTAAAGAACAAGACCACCGCACTTCTGCTCCACGCCTCCGGAGTAGTGCCACCATGGAGGACGGAATTGTAGAGCTTCTGAAGGACTTCAAGTACCGGTGTTCCACCCGCTTTCAGAAGCTCCGCTGTAATTCCATCCTCGCCTGGGGCCCTGCCGTTTTTAAGGTGCTGGAGAGCCATTCTAATCTCGCTCAGACTGACGTCCGGGATATCATCGGAATAGTGTCGGGCAAGACTTAGTTTAGTAAGCTGAAGTGGCAATGGGCCGGCCATATAGCTCGAAGAACCGATAACCGATGAGGAAGAGAGGTTCTCGAGTGGCAGCCTCGTACCGGTAGGCGTAGTGTAGGGCGAGCCCCCACTAGATAGAGTGACGACCTGGTAAGACATGCAGGAAGTCGATGGATGCAGGTGGCTCAGGACCGTGCTTTGTGGCATTACTTGGGTGAGGCCTATGTTCAGCAGTGGACTTCCGAAGGGCAGTAATGATGATGATGATGATGATGATTTGATTGGACAATACTCTTTATTAATACAATACAATACTCTTTATTTTACAACAAGAAAAGATAAATATAATAAAAAATAAACAAATAATGAGGGAAAACCAAATGGCGGCCTTATTGCTATATAACAATATCTTCCAAACGACCCAGACGAAGAATTTAATAAAAACGAGGAAAACATTAACGGGTAGGGTGCACTAAAATAAGAAAAAATACCAACTTATGTACTAAAAAGGTAACATTCTTTATGTAGATCAATGACCATAACTAAGAGAAGAAAGAGTGGTTAAGGATACACATAGTGTTCCTTAACCTGTAAAATTAAGCACTTTTAATTGACTGGGTAAGGAGTTCCAGAGTCTTACTTCAAGAACAGCAAAAGACATAATGAAATGTCGAGGAGTGCACAGGACACTGGAGAGAAAGATTTTGTTTGGACCTTAAAGAAAAATCATGACAGGAGCTAAGAAATTTAAAAAGTTTTTAAAAACTTTTAGATAGGGATGACTTGATTTATTTAATAAGACACAGTAGAGTGCAGAAAGTACATAAGTATTCCGACGAAGACGGATTGGGAGCCACTTAAGTTTAGTGCGGTATTGCGAGACATGGTCATATTTACGAAGCTGAAATATGAACCGTATAGATTTTGGAGTCGCTCAAGTTTGCTAAGTTGCTCTGGTAGCAAATGTCAGTATAGCCTGGGATAGAGAGTAGTAAATATTGTGCAAGCGTTATTTTGGTGGAAATGGGTAAAATGTTAAGCCTACGTAGTGTAGCATATCCTGCAAACATTTTACGTCTCACTGCATTAATTTGGGGAGTACAAGAAAAACTGGAATCTAAAAGGTTACCTAAATCTTTAACAATGTCATTATAAGGGGTATGGTGGGGGTATGGCACCATTAAATAAAAAATGAAAAAAAAGACGAGTATTTAAATACTCGTCTTTTTTTTTCATTTTTTATTTTGGAAATAATTCTTGAATTTAACTTTTGTTCCGATCTATGCAGTATGAACTTATGGTATCTTGAAGTCTTGCAGTTGTATGCTTGGGTTGGGATTTAATTTTATTTATTATAGGATCCCAAGCAGATGGTAGCACCCAGCCATCTTCTCTATTGAAATTAGGATGTTTTTTGATTTCAATAGCCTTGCGAATCATCCTTGGAAGGAATCGGTGTTCTTTAGCGAGGATCTGCGGTCTATCAAATCTGATGTAGTGACGGGGGCGATCCTGTACGTGTTCACAGACTGCAGACTTTTAATCTATGGTAACCGCGGTTAACTATGACATATGGACGTTGAACATCTCAGTCCTGCCCGTGACCATGAGTGCTGTAAAGCGTTCGAAACGTCGGGTAATTAAAAAGTTAATACGCGATAAATTCCGTAAAAACTAGTATTATTTCAATGTGTAGTGTTCGCGTAAATATAAGAAATCATTAATTCTTGAATTCCCAATAATTATGGCTTGGGATTTTAAAGGGTTCACCGTTAACCCATAAAATTGACTCCAGTCTAGAATGAATACAAGTCATCATCCTTGTCAGATCCTTGTTGATACAGTCAACTGCTTACGGAAGATCTTCAATGGATGTTTGTAAATACATTTGGAGATCATCTGCATATAAGTGGTAGAGAGAAGATATTTGGGATCGATCGTATTAATAAAGATTGCGAATAAAAGAGGAGATATTTTTTTTATCTCGAATCCATTTTTCTAGTGGTAGAGCCATGCAGCAGCTATATTAATGGTACAGTTGTAGCACGAATGGGTCGGCTCGACCGGGTAAGGTGGTCCTTCCACTCACAGAATACCAGCGTAAAACAGCAGCTCAACGCTTCTGTGTTTAATATAATTATATCTTAATTAAAATAGATATTTTTTGTGATAATGGTCCCTCAAAAATTTCGGCACGCACCATTCGAACACGTTTGCTAGAAAAACAGTTGTACGGAAGAATAGCAAGAAAATTACTAATATTTAAACGGTGCCATGAGCAAGTTCGTATTTTTTTATTTTATTTGATTCATTCCATGTCACTCTTATAGGCCGAATCCTCCAACTCTTCAAAAAACCGCTCCGCCACAGCTATCACCTCCTCGTTTGTGGAGAACTTTCTTCCAGCCAGATGTTTTTTTTTTTCAATTTAGGGAACACAAATTAGTCCGATGGTGCTAAATCGGGCGAATATGGCGGATGGTTTAATAATCCGAAACGGAGTTCATGGAGCTTAGAGATATTGTTGCAACTGACTTGTGCACCGTGTTTCATTATCCTGATTAAAAAGGATTTTCTTTTGGTCCATCGCGGCCGCTTTACATGAACTTTTGTCGGCTAATTTATCTAACAGGTTAACGTAGTATGGGCCTGTTATAGTCTGTCTTTAGGGATGGTAGTCCATAAAAATATATCCCTTCTAATCCCAAAACACCACCCACCACTTTTCCCGCCGACATTTGCGACTTGGCTTCCTTTGATGGCGTAACGGAGAATAGCTGTTTCCACCGTTTTGACTGTTGTTTTATCCCAGAAATACAGAGGTGAATCCAAGTTTCATCAGTGGTTAGAAATCTTCTTAAAAAGTCGCTTTATTTGATCGAAACGTCAGATTTTCCCTTGAGAATTCAAACAGGTTAAGTTTTTGTTCGGCGGTTAATAAACGCGGCACCCATCATGTTGACACCTGACATCCGCTCAGTTGAGATCCCCATAGTGTCATTTATTTCACGCGCTTTCAATCTTCGATCTTCTAAAGCCATTTGTGGATTTAGGCGATAATTTCTGACGTGATGGACATCGACGGCCTCCCTCTCTTCGGGTCATATTCGATGCTTTCTCTGCATTGTTTCAACAAAGCTGCCCACCTTTTTTACAGTAGAATACGAAGGCGCAGATTCACCTAATGTGTTATCCATGTCTTCCTTGATTTAGCTTGGCATCATTTTTTTTTGACGAAATATTTAATCACGACTTTATATCACTGGTCTCCATTTCCCGCGAAAATGCAAATTCGCTACGAACAAAAATCGTAGAAAAATAATTACGCAACCTATCACAATGGCACTTAACATAAGATTTAATAAAGAACCAAGGTATCGAATGAGTATATATTTATTTACACGCCATCCTCAAATGTCGATTAGACCGAGAACATTTTAAACCAACTAGGTAACTATACGTTGCCTTTTGTTGTTTTCTGACTCAAGTCGCAAATAGTTTACTGATCCGCGGATTATTGTCCGCAATGATCCGCGATTTTTTTAGTTTTCAAGATATGGATTTTTTTTAGTTTTATTTTCAGTTAGTTTTTAAAACTTGGACAGCTTTAGCTATAACTTTGTCTGTGAAGTAATTATTAGAGATTTTTTGCTAGTAATGTTTTAACAGACGAACACACATGCTAGCTATAGCTAATAATATAGCTAATTTATATATATAGCCAATTTAAAACATTAAACACTAAAATTCTAACTACTAGTATCTCAAATTTAGCTCACAAAATTAAAATTTCTGTTTGAAAGAAATTTTTACTTCATTACAAATTGGAAAAAAAAAAACATATACATGCATACATACACACACAAGCATACTCACATATGTGTAGGTATGCTTGTGTGTGAGTAACGCGTTTTTAAATAGAATACGGGTCACAAACGCGTACATAGTCCACCTTATAATGAGTGGATGCTATGGCCGATTGACATCAGCATTTATCGTCAATTAAGAATCATAAGTGTTCGTGTGTAGACATCGGTCCGCGTGTTTATATTCATACGTATGTATATGTGTATTCGTATGCATACATGAGTACGTATGCTTGCGTGTGTATGTGTAGGTATCCGTGTGAGTGTACATATACATTTGTATGTGCGTGTGCGTGCGTACTGTTTTCGCGGCCAACGAGCTCGAGCGGCGCGTGCTGCAGGCAGTGCTCGAGCTTGGGCAGCACGTGGTGTAGCAGCAGCGGGCGCAGCTGGTCGCCCCACGCGCTGCGCCAGGCGGCCAGCAGGGGGCGCGCGGAGCCGTCGGCCGGGTGCCAAGCGCCCAGCGCGCCCGCCAGCCGCGCGCGGATCAGCGGGTACGCGCTTGCCGCCAACGCGTCACCTGCGCCACAACCACCGCCACACGTCACTCAACAACAACAACTTACGACCCGTGGATAGCCCACTGCTAAACACAGCAGTCACCCCCACTCCCTCATAGAATGTTACATAGCCCAACAAGCACTTGTTGTAGAGCCACGCTGTAGCTATTATGGTTGTAGCACGAATAGGTCGGTTAGGCAGGGTAAGAACAGCATTCTCACAGAACACCAAAGTAAAATTACTGTTTAATACTACGGTGTTTCATATGATGCTGACGAAACTCCACATCTAAACAACCTTGAATAACCTAAAAGTACATATAGTCTTCCTTTTTTTTTAAATGAAAGATAATGGAGGAGACTGAATCTATCTTTCTTTGTTTTTCTTTTTAAAGTGAGGGAAGAATTAATTTTTTCCAGTAGCCCTAACCGGCTACTTCGAGCCAGGGCAGCAGCTGCGTGTCGCGCGTGGGGTCCCAGGCGCGCACGGCGGCCAGCAGCACGCTATAGATATATACATGCATATGTTGCAGTACACTGTACACTGCAGTACTAACCGGCCAGCTCATGCCAGGGCAGCACCCAGACGTGCAGCGGCTGCGCGTCGAGCGTGAGGTCCCAGGCGCGCACGGCGGCCAGCAGCACGCTATAGATATATACATGCATATGTTGCAGTACTCTGTACACCGCAGTACTAACCGGCCAGTTCGTGCCAGGGCAGCACCCAAGCGTGCAGCGGCTGCGTGTCGAGCGTGGGGTCCCAAGCGCGCACGGCGGCCAGCAGCGCGCTATAGATATATACATGCATATGTTGCAGTACTCTGTACACCGCAGTACTAACCGGCCAGCTCGTGCCAGGGCAGCACCCAAGCGTGCAGCGGCTGCGTGTCGAGCGTGGGGTCCCAGGCGCGCACGGCGGCCAATAGCGCGGGCAGCACGGCGCGCGCGGCGCCCGCTCGCAGCAGCCAGTCGGTCGCGGCCGCACGCCACGCCTCGAACACACGCACCATCGGCTCCGGCGACCGCGGGTTCCACGTCCTGTCACAACGCATAACATATTACGTGGTGTGACTACTTTAAGGTCGCTGCATACGTAACGTGTTTTATTCCTGACGGAGCGGGACGTGAAATTTTGGAAATATCGTATCATAGAAATGTACGTGATAATACATACGTTACGAATGCACAGACGGGACGGGGCCGTGGCATGAACGTGACGGGAAAAATATCGTCGGCGATGATGTTTACCCCGTCCCGCCCGGGACCCGACGTACCACGTCCCGTTTACCTTCTTGTTCTCTTTTCTGCCACGTAGGATGTACAGAAACTTTCCTTATACTCTTGACGGTTGTAGCTTTTTGAACATCTAAAGCAATAGCAATTAATGCCAATTCTTAAAATGAAAAATCCATCTTTCACAACACAAACACGTTAGTTTCGAGTTACTGTCACGGTGCGTATGCATTAAAGGATGATTCACGTTACACCGTGTCTCGACCAGGCTGGGCCCCGGCCGAGCCCCGTCCGGGGCACGGTCAAACATCCAAGCGTACTTTTTGTATGAAGTGATTCATGCCTGACCGTGGCCCGGCCGTGCGCCACCCGGACGCGGACGGGGCACGGCGTCGAAATGTCGGTGGTTTTGTTTCCCGGCTCCGGCTCGGCCCGGCCCCGACACGTTGTAACATGAACGTGTACGCCGAACGCCCGCAGGGCAGTCGACGACAAATCTTTGAGATGTGAGCAGCTCAATATCGAAATGGACGATGAAAAATGGGTAGAATGTGTGCGCAAATATCTAACAATATGTGATATAAACACAAACAACAAAACAATATGTGTAATGTGTGCTAAAAAACTAACAATACCAAACGAAAGGGAGGTGCCACGTTGCCGCGTCTGGCATGCGCGTCAGGCGCCCGCGACCAGCGGGCGACATAGTACGTGTTCGCGCGTCTACCGTTTTAATCACATCGTGTTGATATTTCCGCGATGCAAAACATAAATACGGAAACGTTTATTAGCGAAATAATGTCACAGTCTGCAATATGGTCTAATAAGCATGAAAATTATATGCATAATATTATATTTCTCAAAACTTTCGTTTTCATCCACGTATTTCATCATACAGTATACGATATTCACCAAACTGATGCCTGTTTTAGTTTAAAAGTTTAACTACTATTTTAATTTTTCAGCCCGCAAAAGTAGCAGGAAAAACCACATGTCTTGCAGCCGCCTCAACGTGGCATACTACAGTGGCAAGGCGCAGCGTCTTCACGCCTCCCGCCTCCGCAAGTCGCCTCCACTCCCCGCAGTCGTTGAGCTACTAGCGTGCGCTACGAAGCGTGGCCAAAGCCTGAGGAGTCCGTTTAGGTGGATACGAGAAGTCCACGCCCTACCCACAACACCGTATAAATAAATAAATACACGTACGAGTGCGTACAAGTGCACGAGCGAGTGCGTGCACTGCTATATCCCGAATAGTATTGCCCAAAATCGGTCTTCGTCTTGCAGTCTTGGTCTCGTTCTTGCATTTTTGTAAGACCAAGACCGCCTAATTTTACCACCAAGACCAAGACTGACCGTGCAAGATTTAAGCAAGAACAAGGCTAAGCCTGCGAGACTCTTGCGTCTTGCAGTTAGGACTGAGTGTCGTTTCAGGGAGTATAGGAGTTCGTGTATACGCTTAGAGACTCTATGAGACGCAAAAAATATATTAAAAAAAGGAAAATTGGACTTACGAGCATTACGTACAATACCATAAACATACATAGCGAATGAAAATATCCATTAAAAGAAAAAAAGAGTACATCGCTAGTTTTGCCCATCGGCACTTTGATAGTGCACGGTGTCTTGTTGTCGGCATCATCAAAGGTCAGACACCTGTCAAAGAAATTTTACAGCTATTCTGAAGTACAAGGTCAAGATACACGCGCCGGCGGCTTCTGTTGATATCGCATACAATCGTCGCCGCCACGCCGCACGCACAACATTTGACTCTGTTTGATTGCCACCTCAGTACATGTTCCAAAGAATATAATAAGTTTCCGGAGCTCAGAATGGACACGAATACATTATGCTGATCTCGCAAGGAATACTGCAATTAGATAATGGTAAGGTAGATATCATAATAATTTACTTTAGTAAGTAATTATTATAATATTAACTATATGGGTTTATAATTATTGCTTATCATTATTATTATTACCTAATAGATAAACATGTTCAATAAGTTCACTGCAAATCTCGATTTTTGGAAGTGTGTGTTTTTGAAATACAAAGTGCTCGAATATGTTGTCACCATTTGATAAATATTGTAGAAACTTTTATCACATTTGAAACGTGCAAACATTTTCTACAATGCTAATCAAATGGTATAAAAAGCGTTCATATAAAATAAAAAGCTAGCAATAAAACCTAGGTACTGCTTTACCTATACTTTATCTATGTACTGAGATTGAAATAATACTAGTTTTTACGGAATTTATCGCGTATATTTAACTTTTTAAATACCCGACGTTTCGAGAGCTTTACAGCACCCATGGTCACGGGAAGGACTGAGATGTTCAACGTCCGGATGTCATAGTTAACCGCGGTTAACCATGAGTCTTTTTTTCTTATATTAATTTCTTCGTACGGTAATCTGCGTGGAGTTATAGCATAATTGAGTCCTTTGGATAAAACCTTAATTGTTTCAACTTTTTACTCCCCTGATTTAAGATTTCGCGTTCTATAATCTGTCAAAACAAACACTGGATGATGCAACAATTAAGGTTTTATCCAAAGGACTCAATTATGCAATAACTCCACGCAGATTACCGTACGAAGAAATTATCTGTAGTGTCCAGGACTGTTTATTTAAAAACAATATGCGGAAAGAAGATTTGGAGGCGATACGTCAAGACATTTCGTCTATGTTACGTCGATGTTCAGTGCCTAAACCGAATCTTCCCAGAGACGAATTTATAGCGTTAAAGAATCTACGCAATAAACCAGAACTTACGATTCTCCGCGTAGATAAGGGAAACGCCACGGTAGTCATGGGTACGTCAGATTATAATTCTAAAATACAAAAACTTTTGTCGGACGTAAGTACTTATAAAAAAGGTTAAAAACGACCCAACAAATAGCACACTACAAACAACTAGTGACCTCATAAAGAAACACTCCGAATAATTAAATCTGGACGTAAAATGGATAATACCTACGTGCGCCAAATCACCAAAGTTGTATGGGTTACCAAAAATGCACAAGCCCAATGCTCCGTTACGTCTCATAGTGAGCCAAATCGATTCACCAACTTACAGATTGGCTCAACACTTAGCGAAAATATTCTCACCGCTCAGTGGACATACAAGAGCACACATAAAGGATTCCTACCATTTTGTCAGCGAGATTAAAGACCTACGTCTGGCAGACAATGAAACTATGGTCAGTTTTGATGTGCAGTCATTGTTTACATGCTTACCTGTTGAAGACTGCATCTCAATTGTAACTAGAAGGCTGGAAGAAAACAACATGCCCATAGAATATGCAGTATTACTCAGACACTGCCTTACATCTGGCTACCTATTGTGGAAGGAGGAGTTCTACAAGCAAGTAGATGGTGTGGCGATGGGCTCACCTGTATCTCCCATTGTCGCCGACATATTCATGGAAGACTTTGAGGAGAAAGCCCTGCTTACTTCTCCCATAAATCCAAAATTCTACAAGCGGTACGTAGACAACACTTTGACAATTCTACCTTTAGATAAAGTAACTGCATTTTTAGACCATCTTAACTCTATAAATTCTAAAATTCAGTTCACAATGGAGTTAGAGGCAAACAATTCCTTAGCTTTTCTAGGTGTGTTAGTAATTCGGAATCCTGTTAACACCTCGAGCCATACTGTGTATAGAAAAAAAGACCCATACGGATAGATATTTAAACGGTGATTCTCACCACCATCCTTCACAGTTAGCTACCGTGGGTAAATCTTTGTTTCAGAGAGGTTATAGGTTTCCGCGTCTACCGCTAAAACGAAACCCTTTGTCGTATCTCCTCAATTTTAGGGCACTCCCCATGGTGCCTCAGCCAGCATCGGAATTCTTGGCATCGAGATATTAAACGACGTTCATTCCGCGGTCACTTGGGAGGGAGGACTAAATTGGCTATTAAATAGCTTGACTCGCTCAGCAGAGTGGAACAGTATTTCATGCTGGCGCACCGTTTACTACTTTACAAGACGTAACTTCGTCCTCAAATGGAGTACTGTTCTCATATCTGGACCGGAGCATCCCAGTGCCAGCTCCTTTCACTTGACTGCATCCACATACGACAGAGTTTTTTCTGATCGGCTTGATTCACTGGCGCTGCGAAGGGATGTTGCATCCCACTGCATTTTCTACAGGGAGTGCTTAGACAAATTGTTCGGATGAATTTTCAGCCGCCAAATTCCACCAACACACATCGGGAAAAATCTCACGGTACCATCCATTTCATCTGGATGCATGGAGGTACACCATGACTAAGATTTACTAGATGTTTTCTTCCTCGCAAGACTTCTTTGTGAAATCACCTACCACCAGCGATTTTTCCGGCCGGAAAAGACTTAGAGACCTTCAAAAACCGAGCTTATTCTTTTTTTAAAGGACAGCAACTCACCAGCAATTTCCCTGATGTTGCAGTTGTTCATGGGCGATGTTGTTCATCGACACTTACCAGCAGGAAAATTTCATTTAATATGGGTGGAACCGCGGGGTGGGAAGCTAAAAAAATCAATATATTTGCTGCTCAGGTAAGACAGAACAAACCGTAGGGGGGACCTCCCTCCCGGGAGTAGGGGGGAGAGAGGGCGCATATTCATAGTTAGTCTTGGGCTGTCGGAACTCTAAATCAGACACTGGAGCCAGTATAATAACAGGCTGTGAGACATTCCATCTTAGTCCCCGGAGGTATTTTCGTGTGTTAATATAGCCTCCACAAAACATATTTCTATGTGGTAAGGTTCCTTTTCTGGTGTCCGTCCAAGAAGGTACCCTATCTATTTCTACGGCCAAATAGCAGTGCTTACACTGCTATGCTCCGGAATAAATGGTATAGAAAGTCAAAGTAATTACTGGCTGCGAAGAGATTCCATCTTTCAGCACATATCAACCCCTGAGTACCGTAAAAAGCGACAAAGAGAAAAAAACCAAAAAATGGATATTTCATCTTTTTCTATATATATTCCACTTATTGTAAAAAAATATAGTATGCTCGCGAATTGCCGACCTATATTTTGTGTATTTAATTTTTATATCACACGTCATCAAAGCTTATTCTTAGCTCACAACAACTTCTTTTATTTAAGATTTTAGTGGCATTTTAAATACATAAATTACATATGGGCAAATATCCAACTCTACAACAATAATTTATGAGCCATGCAAAGGCTTATTCCATCAAAATACGAACACGTGGTGTAAAATCAGTGGTTTCATATCCCCAGTATCGTTTTTACTGTCATTATACAGGGTTATTTTTCAAAGGGTATCCAAATTTTATATTTATGTTCAAATATTTAAATAATGTTATACCGTTATTACAATTTTTAAGATACTTCTAATTTTATTTGAATTTATCCCAAATTGAATGTGATTTATGAGCAACACTATGCGTACGCACACTCTTCTGTGTGCGATTTGATTCACAACTTTGTTGCCGACCGAGCGACCCTTACAAATGCATGCGTGCGTAGTAAATTGTAGGAATTAGATATTTATGAATGACAATCGGTTTAAAATAATGAATTACCGCGCATTCTGAATTTAAATATATAATAATAATAGATAAAAAGGACAGAATGGTTAACATTTTTATTTAATTAATTTTTCTTCACCATTTGCCTATATTACTTATTCTGAATCTTCTCTGCAAATTTAGGCATATAGTGCAAAATAACCCTGTATATTATACCAGAGTCAAAGTAATTTATATTTTTAAATAAGCAGAATTGACTCAAATGCCATTTCTCTAGACAAATTAAATGAGTGGAAATGATAGAATTATGTTTGAATCCATAAAAAAGTGCAACGTTTAAAGCCAAATACTTTCAAATCAATAAATTAGAAAAGTATATATAATAAAATAGGCATAAATATATTAATAATACAAACTAAGTACTCACTCTGCAGCCGAAGTAACATGGGGTATGAAATGTTGCCACAGTAAACTATTGTAAGCTTCTTCTGTAAGCAGTTTCTTCCACTTCAGGAATGTTGGAATGGGTTCTTCTGGAAACTGTAGCGGATCCCACTTTGCTAGTAGAGCACTGAGTAAGGGGCTGACTATGTTACCTCCTATGGTGCCGAGGCCGAACATTTCGTATTCTAGAGGGAAGGTTTCCTGGAAAGATATTTAAGAAAAATAACTAAAGTATCGTACGCACGTAAATATAGGGGGGAGTCTTAGGGGATTCCATCATCCCATTTCATACCGCGATGTCTGAAGAGATAATTATGGGATATGCCAAAAAGACGTGTTTCATATATTGTTACACCCCATCGATGTTAGGAGATCGGTTAATGCATCTCTTTCACGCTGCTGCGTTAGCGACATAAGCCCTATATAACCGATCTCCCGACCAACGCCGGGCAGTCCTACAGTCAGTCTACAATTAATCTATTCTCAATCATCATTACTAAGTCATTACTATATCTTTACAAAATCTCTCTAAGTCCCAGTTATTACTATAATATCATAAGTTTACTAATTATTTATTGTTAATTTAATTCTTCTATATTGTGTCCTGTAATAAATAGTTTTTTAAAAACCTCTATCCTCGGTTCCGTATAATAGTATGTACAGTGTAGAAAAACGGAAACCTTGTTATTGGAAATGACGCATTCCATTTAAGTTCTCACGTGTGACAACGCATCTGCGTTTTGATTCTTAAGTGAAAATAGATGTAGGTGTCTATGGACCACAGCATCCACTTACCATCAGGTGGAACATGTCCTCTTTTGTTACACTTATTCTTAACAGAAAAAGCAATAAAAAATATAGACTGCGCACTGTGTTCATTTCACACGCTAGCACATGCATCGGAAATTATTTGCAACCAACATATTATAGTCCTGCAGTTGGTTTTTACAGAAAGAAAAAAAAATTTGTGCATGTAAAGACATTGAACGTCACATAACCAATTAAATGTTTATCCGTAAATAAACCAGGTGGACTATCTCCACAATAACGTCCTAAAAGAAAATGATTAGGCGTCAAGCCCTCTTCGGGACTATCCATATTAACCGAAACTAATGGTCGCGAATTGACTCTGTGTTCTGCTTCTAAAAGCAATGTGCAAAAATTCCTCTTTAGGATTCTTTTCCTTAAGAGTTGCGATTAAAGCTGTCTTTACAAATCTTATTAATCTTTCCCAGGCCCCTCCCATATGGGGTGCACCAGGTGGTATGAACTTCCAATTAATATATTTCTTAAAACATTCATTTTTCATGCTCTCATAGCATTCCATGTATGCCTGTGTAAGTTCCTTATTTGCAGCTTTGAAATTCGTTCCGTTATCGCTGTAAATGACGGAAGGTTTTCCTTTTCTGACGATAAATCGCCTTAACCTGGCCGCCATTATCATTGACGATGCTAATTCCAGATGTACTGCTCTGGTAGTAGTGTAGTGCTGGTCAAGGCCATGAGTCATTCCGTCCTGTGGTAGCCTTCATTAAATAAGGTTAGTTTCAGCTATCTATGCACCGCAAATGCCAATTACCATCAGACGTACTTTTAGCCTGTCTATTTAAATTTTATAAAAAAAAAAACTACCTTTAAATCTGCAAGCACTTCATATGATGTCTCTAATGACACATCAGGCTTATTCAACTCCTCGACCCTTTGCAATATAGCTTCTACTTTATTGAGCACTTCATCTTGTTCTACGAGATTTTTGTCACATTCTTCTAAATCCCTTTCCAGAACAACTATCTCATCTTCTGCTGCTTGAAGCTCGCGAGCATTTTGAATGATATCCTGAAACAAAAACCATATATAACACTGACTGTCAACCATAGGGGTAAGCAGAGACTACGAATTTCCATTTGGTACGATCGTGACACACCATTCTTGCTTCTTTCACATTCATATATCTACACATACAAGCTTTAGGGTACTCTTAATCTGGTTGATCTTCACTATACAGACAATATGATCTATGAACTTCCATCTAGGGCGTGTCTTGAAATGAAAAACAAAATGGCGATCGTGAGCGGTAAGCGCTGTCAAATCGTAAGTAGCTATTTTCCTCTAGGACACGAAGTTAGTTTTAACCGGGGAACCTAACCTAATTTAAATATATGTTTGTAAAGTATTCATATTAAAAACTTACCAATCATGAATTTTTAATAACATGTATATGTCTATTCATGTTATTATATTACTTAAAACTAATATTGCACAAAAAAAACTTATAAACTCTACTTCAAAACAAACAAATTAAATAGGCAAAATGGCGGATTATGTCAGCGCTACTGAAGTAGCAATCGTGTCCTGGCCGAAAACTATTTCAGCGCTTGTAAGCGCTTGCTAGCGCTTTTTTCTGCCAAACGCACCCATTTTCCATAGTTGACACTTGGCACGCTTGCGGTTACCAACCTGCTGGTTTTTTTTAGTTGTTACTAGGATGACGCTACTGCCCATCTCCTGATTTGTCTCCTGTCGCCTCTGACGACACCCGCGGTAAGATATATGGGGTAATAGATATTCTTACATCACCACTACATGGTATATCTTTCTTCATTAATTCTTTCTAACTATCCTAACCACTGAAGCATATACTCCTTTCTTAGTCCTAATTACAACTACTACTGTTACAGAAAAATTAACATGGGACTTGATATATCAGCACTTAAATTTGCAGTCCAAAACTTTGGTAGCGCTGACAGTTATAACTCTGGATGTTCTGAATAACTTGGGGTGTTGCTGGCGTACTATGTCACCTTAAAGTATCATTACATTAACTTTTTGATAGTATATGCAAATATGTTTAAAAGGAAGATTTATATTGGAATTCCATGAAATCAATATATTTATCACCCAAGAGCTCTTGCCGCATCTAGGAACAAGATCTTGAGTAAACATGTATGGAAACTATAACTTTCCAGTAAAACTCCAAATTCATACTAACCTGTTCACAACAATCGACGACCATCTGCAAGTTGTGTGTCAGCTGTGGTGCAGAGAAATGCTGTAACTGCCTCCTTGGCTCGTGCTCGTATCTTGGTGCCGCCGCCCTCAGCGCGTGGTACCCACTTAACACGCGCTTCTGTTTGCCAGTCATATCGATAACTGGTACCCGAGCCAGTTCACTACTGTAAAAGGAAGAAAGCGCTTTTTAAATTAGTTTCTTTGGTTCATTATGTCCATGGTTGGTTCTTTGCTTGCTCAAAGGCTATAGCCATTCAGTGATGAAACACAGATTCTAGGCTTAATTTTAGGTTTTCATGCTAGTTTTTTTTAATTATTGTCATAAATATTGTACACTATTATGTTATGTTAATTGATACCATACAATACGTTAACATTGTTGTTAATTTTAAAATATTAGAATAGTCAACTAGCAAACAGTACAAGGGGTGGTAAGTGGAAACAGCAGCCTGTAAAACTTGTAACAAACAACAAGCAAAGTGTATAAATGCGTAAAGTAAAAAGTAAAGTTACAGCCTATACACGTCCCACTGCTGGGCACAGGCCTCCCCTCATTTCTGAGAGGGTTTTAGGGCAAGGAAGTGTCCGCCGCGCTGCCCCAATGCGTGTTGGCGAACTTCACATGTCTTCGAAATATTGTTTTTTCTTATTCCTCAGACATGCAGGTTTCCTCACGATGTTTTCCTTCACCGCTGAGCACGTGGTAAATCAGCACTTAAAATTGCAACAAACAATTTCATTGGTGCCGGCGCGGATCGAACCCGGGTTACTCGCGTTGTGTTATATTTACAGCGAGCTTTAACCATCTGAGCTACCACGGCTCTCATGATCTCTATAGATGCGTGGTTATACCCAATAGTTAATACATCATAGTTTTAAATATTTTAATCAAATAAAGGTGACAAATGGGCACATGGTTAACCTGATAAAAAGCAGATGCTGAGGCCCGGTGGCAAGTAAAAGGCTTCATCCATAAATTACATCACAGTTAAGGGGGTGAAGGGGCCAACAAAATATAAGATTGTTTGACAAGGGATGGTATGGGGGTTAAAAGCTATGTAACATCACATGTTAAAAATGGCGTGGGTCCAAAGTCCGTGAACAAAAGATGATTAAGTTTTATATCTTTTCCTAACATTATTAATCGTTAATCGTTTTTAATTGGTCTTTTGTTTTGTCCATAATCTAAAGTATTTGACATTATTTTAATTCAATTTAAATAAAAAAAACTAATGTTTTAATTTTATTACTTCTGAAATATAAAATTTAAAAATACCTCTGACAAGGACGGGGGAGGGGGGCAGTAAAAAAACATAAAATTTGTGTGACTTAATTTATGGATGGCCTAGATTAAGAACCAAAATGCAATGTCACTCCATGGAACTAAGATGATATGCTTTAATATCAGTAAAATTGGTCTCTTGCTTTTGTCATCATCACCTCATTTTATGCACGTGTTATACTGGCTCTTTGTAGGCTTCAAACTTTTGCCTGACAAAAGAAATAAGTAAGAGAGTGGTATTAACCCAAGTGGAACAATAGACAGACAAGGTAAAAACCATAGTAACAGATGAACCCTAGTAAAAGTGTTCGTTTATATAAATGCGAACACCACATTAGTATTACCAATAAAATTGATTCTTACTATGCACATGTAACAAAATAGGATGATAGATAGCCCTACTACGGATAATCAACGGCTTTGTTATGCAACCGTGGAGTTAATATATTTATGACTTTTAACAAAAAGTAAAATCCGACTCAAATAGCTAAAAATGAAGTTTTTTGATTGCTACCCTTAGTGGTGGAAATTTTTCCTCCAAATTTATATGGACCTTTGCAGTATAACCTATTTAATAAAAAAAAATCATTAAAACTGGTTCACAAACTACGAAGATATCACGTAACATACATACAAAAACAAAAACATACACTCGAATTGAGATCGATTCACAAAAATTAACAAATAAAACTATAATAGAATAAAATTGTTCTTCCTAAAATAAAAAAATGGGTAATTATAATAATTATTTAGATAATGGTTGAATTCTATATTTACTAAGTGCTCCCAAGATCTCCACCACCATAGATCTAAGTTTTAAATTAGAATGATCAGCTGTTAGAAACTTAGTATGTTTTTATGGTTCCGTAGACACACACAAGGACCATAAAGACACTTTATTTCGATCAGTCACGTTAAATCACTATAAACACAACATTTCTAAAACTCAATTATATATGTTCCAATTATAGACTTGGTTGGCATCAAACGGAATATTCTAGAAGTACCTGCCAATAGTATGCATCGTGGGTTTACCCTCTTGTATGACGTCCTCCGCATCGCGGTAGAAGTAACGCCCTTTATGAGACTTCTTCCAGTTGTAGGTCTTCTCCGAAGTCCCTTTCTCTTGCTCTTCTTTCTCTTTCAGGCGCCGCTCCTCTTCTTTCTTAGCCTTCAGCTGTAAATTAAGTATTTTCACGCATCAGCATTTAATCTGTAAGGTTTAGTTGTAAGTTGGTACACAGAAATAGTATAGTTATTAAAAGTAAAAAGATAGATCATAGTAATATCCATAATAATATCCTACTTTTAAGTCGGTAAAAAGACAGTTCGCACTTGTACGGACTAATTCCAGCCGCACAATTTCACCATCCCACATCGCGAAAACTCGCGATACCATCCATTCCATGTAGATGATGACTGGCGGTCCACCACTGTGCAATTTAAAAGAAGTTTTTTTCCCCCCACAACTTCTCTTTCGAATCGAGTACCACCAGAGATTTGTCCGGACTAATACAACTTAGAGACCTTCAAGAAAAGAGCGTACTCCTTTCTAAAAGGCCGGCAACGCATCTGCAATTCCCCTGGTGTTGCAGTTGTTCATGGTAAAACAAATCAAAAATTCTTACAGCTGCCTTTTCTGGTCCATAAGCACCTATTGCACCTCTGCCTTTTCTCACAGTAGCCTCCACCGGTGCAGATATTCCTTGAAGATCTTTACCGAGACCTTTACCAGGTTGGTATCCCATCTGTAAGGCAATAAATTGTGTGTAAGGATAGATAGAGTCAGGAACTCTATTAGAGTTGTTAACATGCAGCAAAGTGTCTGGGGAAAGTTTATGCATTCATTACAGCCTATCAAAATTCCTATTTTTTATAGGAGAGGGTGACAAACGAGCACACAGGCCACTTGATGGTAAGTGGTTGCTGTGGTCCATAGACAATTACATCTATCCTCTATTAGGAATCAAAAAGGGAATGCGTTGTCACCAGTGAGAACTAAGATTGAATGCCTCGTTTCCAGTAAAAAGGGTTTCCAAAAAAATGGTGGCCACGTTTGTCTCCAAAACCGGCCATGTTACGACTATTCCTCTTGAGGGACAAAGAACCGTTAATGCAGAATGGTATGCTAGCATTTGTTTGCCACAGGTTTCTGAACTCCGTAAAGAGAACTGCAACCGCCGCATCATGCTCCATCACGACAATGCGAGCTCACACCGCACACAGAACAAAAGAGTTTTTAGAGCAAGAAAACATAGAATTATTAGACCATCCGCCGTACAGCCCCGACCTAAGCCCTAATGATTTCTATACTTTCTCAACACTCGCCATACGAAACACAGCAGCATTAGCTACTATCCCATGCTCATAGGCCTCCCCCATATATTACCTCATAGGGGGAAATATGCCATAGTTGACAAATTTGATGGGCAGGTTGGCAACTGCAGTTTATTATTATTTTGAACAATTTGAGCTGATCAGAAAGATGTTGCTGCCCACCCCCTGTTTCATTTGCCTCTGTCACTATTACCCATGGCATAAAATGGAGTTGTGATTTCTCTAATTCCACCACTACATAGCACTCACACATACTTTATGCATAATTTTATGTGCACAAAAAAACATGTGTGAAATTCACACGCGGTTGAAGTGAAAACTTCAAATGAAATGAAATATAAAATAAGAATATTTCACGCCAAATGTTTTATTTAATATGATACCTTTCAACTACAAGTGCGGTATAAAATAATTATATGATAAAAGTTTAATTTCGTAACATATAAATGTTACAATCCTGATTTTTACACATGTAAAAATTGAATTCTAGTGTTTATCAATCGACAGAATATTTTCTTTCGAGTAAAATTGCTTTATCATAGCGCCATCTACTTCATTATTATTATTAATATTATTTCATTTTTTATTGCATCCTTAAACAAAAGAATACAAAGGGCGGACTTAATGTCCTTGAGACATCTACATCATCTACCACAACACGGTCAACCCATGGGACTGAGTGGTGTCAGTAATTTGACGTAGGTGTGGCAATATAGAATAAGAGAACACAATACAAATGATAATTAACTACATAATATATACAAACTACTAATGAATAAACTATACATATAATATGATCTATCCTTACATATATACAAATATATAAATGCATGCATATACATACAAACATACATATTTAAATACATACATAATTAGTACTTACTATGAATATATACGTCTGTTTAGCAATACATATTAAATTGATGAGTCATGTAAAATGCGTTATCTTTAATAGATGTTCACAGACCAACTTTTTAAAAGCGTACTTAATGGGAGCTTTTCTAATGTCATTGAGCAAGGAGTTCCAAAGGCGTGTAGCCTGAACTGTAAAGGAGTTACCATAGAACTTGGTGAAGTGAACAGGAATACAGATTTTGTTGTTAGAAGAAGAGATTAGGAACCTATCATGAGATGAGGAAATATAATGAAATTAGCTTAAATCTGTATTGAGAAACATGGTCATACTTACAAAGCCCTAAGATAAATCTTATACAGTTATTGAGGAGGCATTCCAGCTTGTTCACAAGATCTTAGGACAGGTCTGGGCAACACATAGATATCAATTATAGGTAATATAAGTGATTGGACAAGCATGATCTTAGATTTTGTGGGAAGAAAATGTTGTAAATGATACAGAGAGCATAATGTGGCAGTGACTTTACGACTCACATCTGAAACCTGAGTTCCCCAATTCAGCGTGCTGTCGATGTGAAGGCCAAGATTTCTAACAGAGTTACTGAAGGGAATTATAGTACTATCATAGTAAATAGGAGGTAAGTCTGCCAGATTAATCTTAGCCAGCATCCTTGAGCTACCCACCAGTATAGCTTGGCATTTCAAAGGATTAACCAAAACTCCAGTAGTAGTAGAGTAGACCAATCTTTGATAGCTGATAAGTTGCCGTTAAGATTTTTTGATCCCATTATGGACATCCCCAATATCAGTTTGTACATAAAGCTGAAGGTCATCGGCGTACAAATGGTACGAGCAGTTGATAATGAAGGTAATAAAGTTTACAAAAATTGAAAACATTATAGGAGAAAGAATAGCGCCTTGCGGCACACCAGCATCCACATCAGCCCAAGCTGAGGTCATTTGCCTCACACCGGCTGACTGCTGTCGACCGCGATAAGATGCATACCAATCCAATTCAGTAGGGCCTAAATTCAGATGAAACAGTATGGAAAGAAGAATTTCATGATCAACTGTGTTGAAAGCATTTGAGAAATCAACTAGTACCAGTACTGTTATTTTTTTTCTACCATGCCTTGTTTAATATTATCAATAACATTAATTAATGCAGTAGTGGTACTATGACCAGGACAAAACCCATACTGATATATACTTAGTAGGTTATATTTCGATATAAAAGTAGAAATTTGCTTGTAAACACAGGATGCTAAAATTTTGGAAAGAAAGGGTAGAATGGATATTGGGCGAAAATGATTGGGAAGAATGAGAGTAGTAACTTTTCCAAAACGAACAAGAAAAATTTATTATATGGGAAATTGCCACTGTTTCTCACGCCACGACTTAATAAATTAAGATGTGGTGTGAGAAACCCAAAGCAGGTAACTGTCCATCCATCATCACATGTTCAAGAGAAGCAACAAGGTTAGATCAATCAACGAGTCATCGGTTCAGATATTATGATAGTGGCTTTAAAGGGAGAATAGAAAGATTAACCAATTCAATAATTGAAAGAAGCTTTTTGGAACGAGGGCAGTTTTTCAACAGATCAGTATTGAAGTCACCCATGATTCATTCTATAGGTAAAGTTATTGTTGACTGCCTCGTTGCTGGTATAGTGGTTATGGTAGCGCGACTGCTGATCATGGGGTTCCGGGTCGGGCCAAAAAATATCAGTTAGGTATTAAGTTTTTCTATAAAGAAATTCTCAGTAGCTGCCCGGAGTCAAGAAATTGGTGGTGTTTCACCCCCGTGCCTCGGAAAGCACGTAAAGCTGTTGGTCCTGCAGCTGATCTCTCTCCGGTCGTATCGGTTTACTGTCCCATTGGATTATGAGAATGAGGTAATAGAGAGTGCACCTGTGCTTGTGCATAAACTTGGGCACTATAATCCTGTCCTGCGCCAATGGCTTAGTCTGACCGAAATTTGGTCTGGAGGAATTATTATTAAGGTTATTTTATTGAAAAAGGAGTTGTGTACGACAGTAGTCAAATGTGGATTCGAATCAATAACCTTTCGAGTTCGCGGTGCATACCCTGCCATTAGGCTACTGTCACTTAAAACACTGTATTCTATCTCATTCTCACGCAGGCTAAATCTTATTATGTGTATATGTTTTTCTCTTTTTAGTGTCGTTTTTTCGTTTCATCGTGTTTCAAATCACAATGACTAAAAAAAGTTTTTTTAGTTACATGTCATAAAATAAAAGTTTTCATTTCAATCAATAAAAAAGATTTCATTTCAATAAAGAATGGTAAAATTAAAAAAAATATACAACCAACTTCAATATAAATAAAATGAGAACATCATCAAAATGTAGTAAAAGTGAATTAAATACGCATTATTAAGGATAACTCAAAAATTACTGGTCAGATCTTGATCAAATTTATATAAGACTACATGAGAGGCACCAGCTTTAAAATAAAAAAAAGAATCATCAAAATCGGTTCACTTAGAAAAAATATCTAAAGTATGACACATTAAAAAATACACTCAAATTGAGTACCTCCTCATTTTATTTAAGTCGGTTAAAAGAGAATAATGACACAAAAATTTGTGTTCAGAATCCATCACACAGTCATGTTACATTCTTATTCTCTTTATATTCACATATATTCATTTATCTATAAAATTAAATGAAAACCTATCATACTATGGTATACCTGTAATAATAGCTTAGCCCCAATGCCTTTAGTGTGTTTTTCCCATGCACCAACATTGCCACCGAGATTAGGTGGCCTCATTCCCTGCCCCTGCCTTCGTATACCAGCGGTGTCCGAGGGCAAAGGCTCATCAACTCCATCTTCTTCGTCTGAACTGTTCACAATTTTTGGTCGAGATGTAGATGCTTCTGTAGGTTGTAACTCTGTAAGACAATATCATTCAAGTAGATGACAAGAAAAAGGAAGGTAGGAAAAACAAAGTAACTTTTTATGGTAGCAGATATAGCTTTAACTAAAATGCTGGATAAGTGGTGGTGTTGTATATGTAGTTTCTTGTACCAAATGTGTTACACTATTTAAGTACAGAAGGACATAAAACCCGCTTGTTTCGAAGTTTGTTGTATGTGTCAGTACAGTATATAGTTTCCACTTATCTGGATTCTGGACATACATAGACTGTTAATTGGGTTGTCATTATAATATTATATGTATAAGGTTAACATTTATTAAAGTTTATAACATTATGCTTAAATAAAAGCCATTTTTTGAAAAGAACTGTGAACTATGTTATTCTAAAAGATTCTGTCAGCATAAAAAAGATAATGTTATGCCCACCTCCAAATCTAGTTAGAATAACACAGTTCACAATTCTTCTTTTTAAAATATGGCACTGATTAAAACTACTTTTACGGATTTTATCGCGTTTATTTTACTTTTAATTACTTTTATTTTTAATTCCCGACGTTTCGGGTGCTTTCCAGCACCCATGGTCACGGGGGACTGAAATGACTGACGTCCCGATGTCATTGTTAAACCCGGAGTACCTTCAGCTTTTTTAATTATTGTTTATGGTCCGATCTATGCAAAATGAACTGACTATGTCCTGAGGTCTTGCAGTGGTATGCTTGGGTTTAGTTTTAATTTTATTGATTATAGGATCCCAAGCAAGTGGTAGTACCCAGCCTCCTTCGCTATTGACATTAGGATGTTTTTTAATTTCAATAGCCTCACGCATCATCCTTGGCAGGAATCGGTGTTCTTTCGCGAGGATTTGTGGTCTATCAAATCTGATGTAATGGTTAGGGCCGTCTAAGATATGATCGCAAACTGCAGACTTCCCGGAACGTTGATGCTTCACATCAGCTACATGTTGTTTTATGTGGGTTCTAATTGATCTTTTTGTTTGTCCTATATAAGAGAGACCACATTCACAATCAAGCTTGTACACTCCTGCATCTTGTAGAGGAATATGACATTTGACGGATGGTAGGAACTGACTAATCTTCTTCGGCGGCTTGTAGAATGTTCTAATAGAAGCTCGCTTCAATATGTAGCCAATCTTGTCTGTGACACCTCTGACATATGGTAGTACAGCAGGCACACGCTCGACTGTGGCCGGCTTCACTAAATCCGTAAAAGTAGTTTTAATCAATGTGTAGTATTCGCGTAAATATAAGAAATCATTAAATATGGCACTATTAATTTGATGAAGAATCTGTGCCAATGTTGAGCTACAATATAAGGTAAATTTGCTTATTTGGGTAACTTCTTTGTATACATACTAGTACTCCCTACTAACAGTTTTTACCAGAGTCTCAATTGTTAATTAGCCATGCAGACAATTTAAGTGAGTGCTCCAAGAGAATACTAGCATAAAATAGCAGCATAACATATTTTACATGTTAAGTGTAAAATTCTGGATACCCTTTTTACTGGTAACAAGACATCCAACTTAGTTCACAATCATGATTGTTGGAGCTTGCTTTACCTTTATTAGCTTCTTTCTTTTTGCCGGCCTGCTGAACTCCACCCGCAACAAATCCAATAGGGGCAGAAAAGTCTTTAGGTTTCCTTGATCTCTGCCTGATATTATCTTCATTGTCTTCCTCATCACTATCTTTAGCCCAAACACCTGTAACAGATTTTTAAATCTAAATCAAAGACTAACAGATAATAGATAATTAATTAACAATAGACTGTTAATACCATGAAAATAAATGTTTTCCTGGAAAAAATAAACATGGAATTATACATGAAACAATGAATTGTACATGCACACTGTAACACTGTTCATATTAATGTTTAACCCCAACCAAAAGTTAACCACACTTGTGAAATGCAAGAACTATCTCTAAACTAGTGCCAGCCATTAACCTAAGTACAGCCAAAATAACCAAATGTTTGTCTTTCTATAGAACAATAAATATTATAAAACTATCAACAATAAAATTATTAAAATCATACAGTCTTATGAATATTAATTAAAAATTGAAAAACTGATTTATGACAAAGTAAATCAATTTTAAAAAAGTTTAAATTATAATGTAAAAAGTTTATAGTTTTTCTTATTTGTTGCAATTTAAAATGCCGATTCAATAACATATTATATTCAGTAATGGACTGCCTCAATGGTGTAATGGTTTTAAGTGCAACTGCTACTCATATTTTTGTTAATTAAAAGTGTGCAACTATGCTTGCTCATACACTCATGCACTATAATACGGTCCAATGTAGGTGGTGATGCTCTGTAGAGATTGTCCACTGGGACTGAAATGCAGTCTGGATAGCATTATTATTATTATACTCAGTAGTCCTGTTGAAACTCCAAAACAAGAACCCTATCCCGTCTGGTGCCTGGCCATTCGTCTTTTTTATGCGCCAACCGTTCAGGCTTGTACATAGCGTTGCCAGGCATCCGGATAAAGCCAGACACAGTCAGGCGTTTTAGTTGCGTGTCCGGCCAAAGTAGACGGTTTAAATTAGATTATTTTTGACATTTTTTCGTGTATACACATATATATATATATATATATGTAATATTTAAGATTAATAATAAAGAACACTGATTTATTCAATTTTATTGTTACTTCATTAGAATTTAAGAAGATTTTATGGTAAATAATAAAAAGCATTGTTTTACTTTTTTTTAAAAATTGTCATGCTAAGACTAAAAAATTAAGGGTACCTGGCCTTTTACTAAAATACCTGGCTAAGCTCGCTGGTCTGTCTAGCTTTCCGGTTTTAAGACCTACCTAACCAACCCAACCCTAGCTTTACAGAAGGTCGCCCAGGCTATCTTTTTAATTTTCTATGCAAGTAATATATAAAACATATAATAAGTGCAATTTTACTTTTATAAATATTATCAATTCAATTCAATTTCAAAATTGTGTGACATACATTTTGCCAGTTTCTTGTACATAGAAGGTTATGATTACAAAATTAAATCATTATATAAAAAGGTATTTGTTTTATTTGCATAACAACACAACTTTCTATCAAAAGAGAGAGAAAGAGAGACATCGCTATATTTTTTCACATTAAAAACATTTCAAAATCTACCTTCTTTTATACAGCAAAACAAAAACAGGTTAAAACAATCAAAATTTCTATGTATTAGAATAAGCTTATGATGTTACATCATGTCCTTATCTTTAATCTATGTTGATCATCCCAGATTAAAACCAGAAACAAACAGCATTTACTTTTTACTTTGATAGCGAATCGTAAATCCCATTTGTTCAGCAGTGGTATAGGCTATATTTTATTTACTATAATTTTAAAATTTATTTTAAGTCACACAAATCTAACTAGTTTGGCCATAAATAATGTTACATAAAAATATTTCTTTTTTTCAACTTTTTAATTATTTTGAATTTGGAATGTGTTCATTATTTTTAAAAGTTCTATCGATTTCACGCCATTTTTTCATGTTTTCACAAATTTTTTCATGTTCATTATCAAATTACAAGATGGAATGGGGTGTTAAAGAAAATAGGATTGCGGTGATCGCCTTGCACAAAGTGGGTATGGAACCATCGGTCATATTCCAGACACTTCAAAAGCTTGGTATCAGCAGTATGTTCATATATCAGACTATCAACAGATACAACACTTCCTCTATCGAAGACCATAAAAATCGGGGCAGCCGCGTTCTGTCTGAACTACAAAGGCTGTTAATGCTGTTAAAGCCAAAATTCATCGAAATCCCATTAGGAAGCAAAAAATCTTATTGCAAGAAATGATGATTCCCGCTAGAACTCTGTCGCATATTATAAAACAAGACCTGAAGCTCGGTGCTTATCATCGATATACAGGATATGCCCCAAAATCAATCTTTACAATTAAAGAGAGTGGATCGATCAAAACGCCTTCTGTCGCTATACGCAGGTGAAGGGCACAGAAATATCCTCTACCCCTGATGTACCGTGGACATGAATTCAAAGCAAAAATGTCCACGTTTTGGTGACCGTTGAGTAACCGTCGGACATGAATTCAGTGTCTCTCATTACATGCTGCTATTTTCATCATTAATTGATATAAAAATACTGTATATTTTCAATTGAACACTATTTCATTCGATTCTGAGGTCACAAGGCACGAACTAAAGACAGTATTCTGAAGAATTATATTCACTCGGTTACATAGACAAAATAAAATACATCAGCTATTCGCTTTTGAGCTGTTGGTGCTGTTAGTTGCGTAATCGTTGAAGTTTTGTGATTGTGATTATAGTTGGATTTTCTTTCAAAAAAACTGTAAGTAATGTTATTTATCTTTATTTTCATTTGTAACAGAACTTATGGGCGGACTAGGTACATTATGCAATATCAATATGTGTGATTACTTGTAAACAACCATTACTGGGCACAGCCAACAATTGGCAATGAAAAATAGTAATAACATTGATAAGTTTCATTTTCATATCTAGTTTTGGATAAATATTCTAAGAAATATATTATAATTTATGATGATATATTATAACAATTGCTCTTATATTCTTGATATATTCTATCCAAATATTTTCTTACCATATATTTGATGTTCTTTCTTAGCTTTACGGTTTCTGTTAGGATTGAATTCATTGTCTAAGTCGTAATCAGTTATTTCAAAACGAATCACTTCGTCATCTGACATTTTAGAATGTAAGTTTATTTATACCGAATAGGATAATAAAATAATTATAACATGTATGTGAAACAAAGAAAACAAGAAAGTGTCGCAATCAAAGCAACTTAACCATCATCAACCTGGATATGAGTCTCCCGGTAGAGGAAGTAATTAACAATAAATATTAACATTCACTCATACAAACGACACAAATATCAAAACGACCCCGATAATCCTCCAAAGGTTTTATTTCTGATGTTTAAGATAATTATGTATAACACTTCTTCAGCATAACAATAATATATGGCGAATATTTTCACCTTATAACTATTAGTAAACAATTATTTTTTGGTTAGGTTTGAGAAAGTCAGATTTTTATCATCATCATAGATAAATAAATATGTAGCAAGCTAATTTTTATTTACTTGACTTTTTTTATTAACCGCCTTTATGGCTCTGGGTTCTAGCCCTTCTGAGCAGTGTTGCCAACATTAAAATCTCGCTCCCATTGTAGAGAACACTATAATCCCGTCAAAACCCGCCAAGTAGAGATTTTCGAGTTTTCATTCCCCCTAAACATTAAAAACGAATTCATCTCTCTCTCTAAAAAAGAATCTTGACACACATGGATTATTTTTCAGAATTCAATTTACCAAAGTATATACACACATCCGTTTTATGATACCTATAACCGTCCCGTTGAAAAATCCGTTAGCCGTTAAACACATTTTTTCCCGTAACCAACCTCGCTGACCCGTCAAATCTAGCGTGAAACCAAGGAAGTTATAGTGCGTGAAACCCGTCAAGTCGGCAACCATGGAGTATAGAGGTAAGGAGGAAAATGTCCCATAGGAGAATAGTTGAAAATGTGTTCATCCGTGAGCAGTAAATAGCAGTTCAAAAACTCTCCACAACAGCGCTCAAGTAGCTACAGGGATAAATCATAAGATAAATCATAAGGATAAATCGCCGTAAAATACGTTGAGAGAGATTTTGTAAATAAAAATTTTGAAAGCAATAAAATTGTGGCGTAACTCGCTTCTGTTGGGGCCCACATAAATCTACTACGCTTATGAAGATTGAGCCACGCTTGACCATCACGCTATTGAAGCAAAAAAATAGCACGACCTCTATCAACAACGCCACACGCCTTCATCAGCGCGTGAGCCGGACCGCCGTTCATCCACCTGCAGCTAGCATAGTAACAAGACGCACACGCTACTCACCTCAACTAACTTATCTTGTACGCGAAGTTAATTTCACTCTTGTAAAATTATTGCCAGTAAAAGTTACTTTTACATCGAATAATATTACTTCATTTGGAGTCACATAATTCTTTTATACTATCTTATATTAGTATTCTGTTATTTAAAATATAAACGTACGAGTACTTGAATACTACGATTAGGTTTGGTGGTAAGGTATTAACATATACAACTCACGCCGAACCACTGTACTGGTGACCCATAAAATAATTATTGTAAAAAGAATTATGGTGAAAGTCTGTGCAATAAAAAAATTATAAAAAGTTTTTTTAAAATTTAGACTGTAGCTATAGTGGCGCCACCCTTATTTATTGTTCATAAAGCTGTCAGTAAGATCACGCCTATGAAGTCCTGAATTTCTTAGTAGTACAGACAGTACCTGTCAATGTCATACTTTATGGGCATGCCGACCTAATTAGTGCATTCCTTTATGGGCATGACATTGACAGATACTGCTACTGTCTGTACTCTGTACTACTCTGTGACTAGAGAAAAAAGAAAGGACATGACATAAAGATCGTTAGTTGTAGGAATATAACGAAATATCAGCGTCTCTTTTTAGCTTATGAGTATATTCGTATGTAAAAAAAGGACAACAGTAGTTTTATCATTACCGAATATAGCAACAATTTTTTTTGCTGAGGCCGGGCGCCATGTTTTGTCACAGTCAATGACAACTATATCAGTTGTCATTGCGACTTTAGTGAGGGAGTGTGTTATTTTTATATGTTTCTCTCGTGGAATTCGATTATTACGAAATTTCTTATTCCATTCCTCGGGACCTCTAAATCGGGATAAAAAGTATCCTATATGTTAGTTCAGGTAATAAACTATTTGCGTGCCAAAATATTATATTCAAACTGGTCTGATTCTTTTGGCGTGATTGAGGAATAAACAAACATTCAAACTTTTGCAGTTATTATAATTTAATTAGTGTGAGTATTATGACTGCGTCTAATTTATTGTCTAACAATCAAATAAAAATTCTTTAATTAGTATTTCTTTTTTAGTAATTCCCGGAAAATAATTGTAACATTAATAATAGATGGTTACATTATAAAAACAAAAAAAAACGACTGCTCAAAAGTAATGAACTGAAAACATAGGTGTAACTCATATATACTTCAGTAATTCCATGCCAAAAGTGCACACAGTGCTCGGTTCGCAAAGCACTCCTCTCCCTGGACATCCACACGTCGAGTGGACGTGACGGAATCCCCCCCAATTGTGCTGAGGACGTGTGTTCCAGAGTTGGCACCGGTTTTAACGCGTCTTTTCCGGTACTCCTACTCCCTAGGCGTAGTCCCAAAATCATGGAAGACGGCTTTCGTCCACCCGATCCCTAAAAAAGGCGACCGCTCAGGCCCGTCCAACTACCGGCCTATCGCCATCACCTCCTTGTTCTCCAAAACAATGGAGTCATTTGTAAACTGTCAGCTCATGAGGTACCTTGAGGATCACCAGCTGATTAGTGACCGCCAATACGGTTTTCGCCGTGGTCGGTCAGCTGGTGATCTTCTGGTCTACTTAACTCATAGATGGGCGGAGGCAGTAGAGTCCAAGGGGGGAGGCATTGGCCGTTAGTTTGGACATTGCGAAGGCCTTCGATCGGGTTTGGCACAAAGCGCTTCTTTCGAAGCTCCCTTCCTATGGGCTTCCCGAGAAATTGTGCGATTGGATCACCAGCTTTCTTGCAGATCGGAGCATCAAGGTCGTTGTAGACGGTGCAAGCTCCGATTGCAAGCCTATTAACGCTGGTGTTCCACAAGGCTGTGTGCTATCGCTAACGCTGTTTCTCCTGCGTATCAATGATATGTTGCAAACCTGTAACATTCATTGCTATGCAGATGACAGCACTGGTGATGCTCTTTACACCGGCCGAGCCAATATTTTTCGGGAAAACGTCTCCGAGTGCCGGGACAAACTTGTGTCTGAAGTCGAGTCTTTGCTGAACAGAGTCTCGGATTGGGGACGACTAAATCTAGTCCAGTTTAACCCCCAGAAGACACAAGTTTGCGCGTTAACCGCTAAAAAGAACCCCTTTGTCGTATCCCCTCAGTTTCAAGGCACTCCCCTTGTTGCCTCAGCCAGTATCGGAATCCTCGGCGTCGACATATCGAGTGACGTGAATTTCAAGGTCACTTGGATGGGAAGGCCAAATTGGCCTCTAAAAAAGCTTGGCGTGCTCAGCAGAGCGGGACAGTATTTCATGCCGGCACACCGCCTGCAACTTTACAAGGTGCAGGTTCGGCCGCACATGGAATACTGTTCCCATCTCTAGGCTGAGGCTCCTCAGTACCAGCTCCTTCTACTTGACCGCATCCAGCGCAGAGCGGCTCGAATCGTCGACGACCGAGTGCTTTCCGATCGGCTCGATTCACTGGCGCTGCGAAGAGATGTTGCATCTCTTTGCGTATTTTATCGCATCTATCACGGGGAGTGCTCTGAGGAATTGTTCGGATTAATCCCAGCCGCCAAATTTCGTGAACGCACTACCCGGCAAACGTCCCGATACCATCTACACCATCTGGATGCTTGGCGGTCCACCATTGTACGTTTCACAAGGAGTTTTCTTCCACGTACAACCTCTCTGTGGAATAGTTTACCACCGGCGATTTTTCCGGACCGATACGACCTGGGGACCTTCAAGAAAAGAGCTTACTCCTTTCTAAAGGGCCGGCAACGCACCCGCAATTCTCCTGGTGTTGCGGTTGATCATGGGCGGCGGTAGTCACTTAACATCAGGCGAGCCGCATGCTCGTTTGCCCCTTCTTCTATAAAAAAAGCCATTTGAGATTATATTTCCCCTTAATAAGATACTTAATCAATAAAAAGTATTTAGATTAATAATAAAACAAATTATTCCTAGGATGCCATCTCGTGTCATGAAATATGGATTATGAAATTAATATGTTCAGATGTGACATTACCGTGGGTTAACTATAGGACGAATATATTATTATACACATTTTTTTTTTGTAAAAACATATATAAATTATTACAATTAGGCTAAATTTTTCATGTATAAATCTGCTTATTATTCTTTTATTTTATTTTTAGGTTTCCACATCAAAGTCAAAGTGCTTGGCATAAATTCGTCCATTTTTAAGTGCCCAGCATTTATGAACGACTCTTATTTTAATTTAAATAAATATATTTGTAATTTTAACGTTATGTTAATAAGTTTTGTTAAACATACATTTAGTATGTTTTTTTATATTTGACATAGATACCTTTTAAAATATTCGGATAAAAATATCATTAAAATGTAATTGTGATATGATATTTTGTAATATTATATTAAATAAGCAAATATAATATACAAAATAAAAATGACAAAATTTAAATATTGTTCTCGATATAATTTACCTATTTAACAATATAATCTACTATTACCTGCGGATCATTCTACCTATGTTTATTCTATGATAAATAAACCAACCGCGCTAACACAGAGCAGCACACATTTTGAAGAGAATTTAATTAAAGTGTGGAACTTATAATATGATAGATTGTTATAGGGTAATTGTAAATTTAAAAGACAATTTCTTTTGTACTGAATGTATAGAAGGAAATTGAAAAATTTAATATTTTTTCAAGAGGATGTTACAAACATTGAAGGACCTGAGCATGATAATTTAGTGATGGAACAACTAAATACGGTGCGCCTTTAATTTTCAGTGCCTTGCTTACTAAACACTAGTACGAGTGACAAGAATTGATTTAAAAGTTATAGTTATCATGTAATGACATACTATTATA